CTGAGCAAAGAGTGGGAAGTGAGGAGCGGGGATGGTGAGTAGCCAAGTCTTGACAAGCCTGGCAAAAGTGGGAACAGAGAAGTGGGTGGGAGCTGAGAAGGGAGTGCTCAGTGAAGACGGGAAATTCTAAAACATGTTTGTATGGCGATGGGCATGATTCATGAGAGGAGAGAAGACTGAGAGTCCTGGGGAGCGTGGAACCCGCAAGCTAGGAGCACAGGAAGTTTTTGTCACCAGTGGAGTTGTCTGTCAGAGCACCGGGGGTGGAGTAGTTTCCAGTGATGACAAAGTCCAGGCTGTGACTGTGGCAGTGGGTGGTTGAGGTCACTGGAGCAGAGGTGGTCAAGAAGACAGGCAGCCAGGCACTAGGAGGACCATCTACGTGCACACTTAAATCACCTGTGAGACAGAAGGGACTGGAACAGAAAGACAAAGACTGGGCCTGGCAGCAAATCCTCAGTGGAGGGGGGACTGTCTGGGGTAGTGAGCAAGCCCATGACAGGGAGTGTGTGGGCTTAGAAAGCTGAGTGGCATGAGCATCACAACGTGGTTTTTATGAGAGCATGGATCTCGAACGCAGAAGACACAGCTCCTCCCCCTGCTTGGGGTACATGAGCTGTGACAGTCAACAGACTGCTCTCTTGGTATGAGGTACTGCCGGGGAGCTGGGAGCACGAGAGGAGGGATCTAACCCGGATGGGGTCTGGGGTCTTAGGGAGGGCTCTCTGCAGGAAGAGATACCTGAGCTGAATCTTCAAAAATAAGCAGGAGGAAGAAATGCGGCAGGGGAACCACGGACAAAGGCTAGGATTGTGAAAGCAGTCCTGTACGGCCGAGGGGCACAGGAAGGAGAAAAGGAGTGGCAACAGAAGAGGCCAGAAAGAGGCAGGGGTCATGCTAGCGGCTTCGACACCATTTGAAGACAGAGGTACCAGTCTCAGGGTTTAAGCAGGGGAGTGAGATTTGACACTAGGGACTGTATGTAAGATAGAAACGTGTAGGAGAACTGCTGAGTTATTGTAGGAGTCCTAGAGAGAGGAGGGCTTGAACCAGGGCGGTGGCAGAAGGAATGAAGAGAGAGGTGGGAGAAATGAAGGAACAATGGGCAGGGCTGACTTGCTTGCTTCCTGATGTGGGCAGTGAAGGGCAGGGTGGGCGACTCTCGGGTTCCAAGCTTGCGTGACTGGTGGTGCTGTCGACTGATAGAGACCAGAGGACATTGCGTTTGGCTGGTCTTCTGATCTATCCTCCTTATTTTAGGGGAGGCAGGGGGTGGTAGGCAGCAGTGGGTTAAGGACAATGGGAGGGAGAAGAAAGGGCAAAACCCCTCAAATGGTAATATCTGACTAATGGTCACATACACCCCATGAGCCCTTTTTTTTTTTAACATGAAGCAAAACAAGTTTTATTTCTTTCATATTTCTTTTTAACGCTCTCTGTCGCCACCTAATGGGATGTCAGCTGAAACCCAAAGACTCACCCGTGGACAGACAGGAGGCTCCTGAGACAGCAGCCACCCAGGCAGGGGGGATAGGACACCGCCTGGGTGAAGGACCTGCCCGGCTAACTTCAGATGTCTGACAATACCTCTAGGGTCCACGGGACAACCTTCTGGAAGATCAGAGGTTCCTGCAGCTAACAGAGACATTCATTCATTAATAATACCTCGTAAGATCATTTTCTGCAGATGTGCTTCGAGCTTGACTTCTCTGTACTCCCAGGATCAACTATCAAATTGAGGCATGCTGAGGGAACCACTGTGTAGACATCCATGAAACTGTTGTTTGGTGGGACAAAAATTCTGGGGCACCTGAGCCTAGTGAGCTCAGTTTTTGGTTCTAGTGTTTACTGTACCACATCTAGGTTTAGGTGGACTTACTTTATAAATTTGGGAATGCAAAAAAATCTCCTAGTGAAAAGTCTTAGCTCTGGGGGCAAAACAAGGAGCTACACCCCTTGCTTCCAATTGCCTTCCTTCCACAGTTCTGACACGCCTACAAATATCATTCACTGAACAAGAAGTGTAGCAAGCCACACCAGAGGCGACAAGGGGAGGCTGTGGTGGGCGAGTGGAGGCAGTCACTGCCCTCAGTGGCTTCAGCCTAGAGGGGGCACATGCGGCAAGTGGTAACTTCATAGTCATCTGGGACTGCTTGGAAAGAAGTCTACTGGAGCCTCAATGCAGGATACAGAGCCTAGTGCAGAGGAAGGGACAAAGACGGAAGGGCCAAAGAGCATGACCTTATTTAACTCCCCTTTTTGCCAGTGAAGAGACACAAGAAGGAAATCAACAATTTCACATGCCAAAGAGAAGCCACTAAGATAAACGCTTGAGTATGGTAAGTTCTCACCTGCAGAGTGTGGGTAAGCACAAGCCTACCTTGCAGGCTGGTACGGATTCCATGAGTGGATCCTAATCAGGCAGGCAGGCAGACAGCAGTCTGTCCAGAACCACTGCACATGAGTGGGGGGTGGGCAGAGGAAGGACCCAGTAGAGATGCGACCCCAGGGGCTGATCAACAGGAAGGTAGAGATGGTGAATATAAACTACTCTTTTGGAAAGCCAGGCACAGAGAAGATGTGGGGTGACCAGAGGCAAGGGGTAGGGAGCTGACAGAAGGCCAAGAGAAGATACACTAAATTTGTGATGGAATGTAAGGCAGCTTTAAAAGGACCTTTACTGTTTTTTAACACACAGGTGTCTTAGTCTCGACACCTGTGCTTGGCTGCCACAGTGAAATACCACAGACTGGGTGGGTTAAACAACAGAAATTTATTTCTCACAGTTCTGGAGGCAGGAAGTCCAAGATCAAGGTGCCAGCAGATTCGGTGTTTGGTGACAGCTCTCTTCCTGGCTTGCAGATGGCTGCCTTCTCACTGTGTACTTATACAGCACATGGTGGGGAGAGTGTGAGCTCTCTGATGTCTCTTTTTAAACGGACACTAATCCCATCAGGCTCCACCTTCATGACCTCATCTAACCCTAATTACCTCCCAAAGGTTCCATCTCCAGATATAGTCACATTGGGGGTTAGAGCTTCAATATATGAATCTTGGGGGGACACAAATACTTTAGTCCATAAGAATGGGGATGTTTGTGTTGTATTGTTAAATGGAAAATGAAAAGGCAGGGTATGGCACCATGCATACTGTGTGATACCAATTAAAACTCAATCCAGGAGATAGTGGCACAGAAATGTGAATGTATTTAATGCCACTGAACTGTACACTTAAAAATGGTTAGGATGGTCAATTTTACGTTATGCGTATCTTACCACAATTTTAAAAAAAAGACTCAATCCAAGAGAAGGCAAGAGAGGAGAAAAAATACAACAGACAATGTGAAAAAAATAGAATGCACAAAATAAAATGGTATAAACAAATCTAAATGCATCAGTAATTAAATAGACGTTAATGGTCAAAACAGACAGAATGGATCTTTTAAAAATCTAGCCATTTGTCATTTTCAAGAGCTATACATCTAACCCACAAAGACAGAGAAGGGAGGAACGTGAAAAGCAGTAGCAGTGACCAGAAACACAGGCGGCGCAGTGCTATTGCTTTCAGGTGAAGTCAAAGTCAAGGCAAAAGCACTATTATAAAGAGGGTCACTTCATAATGCCAAAGAGTTCAATTCACTGGGAAGATAAAAACCACTTCTAAAACTGAAAACCTGGCCTCCAAATAAATAATAAAGCCAAAATTAACCAAGCCCATGGAGAAACCGTGACACACGTTCCCTAGCAGTAGGTAAACCAAGTAGACAAAACGACAGTAGCAAGAGAGGATCCACACTTTCATAACCCAGTGGACAAAACTGAGGTGATAAGCTTATGCAGGCTCTGCACCCCCAGCTGGTGGGTGCATGCTGTGTTCAGGCGGTCACGCGCTTCCAACAAGCCACAAGAGCTGCTGTCACACAGATCATGTCCTCTGACCACAGTGCAGTTTAGCTAGAACTTGACTTTTTTTTTTGAGGAAGATTAGCCCTGAGCTAACATCCGTGCTCATCTTCCTCTACTTTATATGTGGGACGCCTACCACAGCATGGCTTGCCAAGCGGAGCCATGTCTGCACCTGGGATCTGAACTGGCAAACCCCAGGCCGCCGAAGCGGAACGTGCAAACTTAACTGCTGTGCCACCGGGCTGGCCCCTAGAATTTGATTTCTTAGAACAGTAACTAGGAAAAAAACCCATAAAGCCACATGCTTGGAAATTCAAAAACACACTTCTAAATAATTTTGGGCCAAAGAAAGAATCACAAATAAAATTAGAAAACCTTTTGGGCTGACTTAAAAGTGGTAACACTATACATTGAAACTCGCTGGATGGATGCAGCTGAAATAGTTTGAGAGTCAGCTGTAAATGCTCACACCGTATTTGAAAAGAAGGCTGGAAATCAATGAGCTAAGTCTACAATTTAAGAATTGAGAAAAAGAAAACCAGAGAATGTACCCCAAGAAAGCAGAAGATACAATAAAGATAAAAGCAGAACTCAATGAACCAGAAAGCAGACATGCAGTAATACAGGACAATAATACTCAGAAGTTCACTCTTTGAAACACGAATAAAACCAACAAAATTCCACCAAGACAAGAAAAAAAAGGGAGAACGTACAAGTGAACAATACCAGAATGAAAAAGGAGACATAAATACAGATGTTACAGAGATTTATAAAAAGATGCGCACAACTTCATGCTAGTAAATTTGGTAATGTAGACAAAATGGACAAAAATATACCTTAGCCACACTGACCCGAGCAGGTGCAGGGAAAATAAAAATAGGTTTTGAAGTGTGTGTACGTGCACAAAACACCTCAAAGGACACATACAGGACCCCGGAAGCAGATGTTCCCTGTAGAGGGGCCTGGGTGGCAGCAGGGACACTCAGAGACCAAGCGTCATTCTAGAATTTGCACTTCCTGAGTTGTGAATTGTGTGCATGCGTCATCTGCTCAACAGTGGATCCAAATACACCCGGAGACAAGGAAAGGCCTCACCTGGCTGCGTGTGCAGACTGGCCCAGGAGGTGGGGAGCAAGCTGTGCAGCAGGAGCAGATCCCAATATCAGCTGGCACTAGGTCTTGTCTTTCTTTCTTTTTGTACTTTTAATCTTTACAATTTTGGTAGGTGAAAATGGCATCTTCTTTGTTCTCATTCGTGTCTCTTTCATTATCACCGAGGCAGAACTCTTTTCCTATCTTCATTGGCCACCTGTATCTCTTCTTTTATGAATTTCCTGTTCATATTCTTTGTTCATTAGTGGTGACTAGTGGTAAGTTAGCAATAAGAACTGTTGCTTTCAAATCTAGACTGAAAAGGAAATTTAAAGATCTGCCCAAGTGCACTCACAATAAGTGACTGTTGAATGCCCAAACTAATTGTTCCCACTACCCAGTTGGAGGCATTAAGCCTAGGGTCATTCATTGGATGGTGATCTGCAGCTGAACTATTTTCCCCAATCCAAACACTTCAGACTCACCCAAATCCCATGAAACTGCACCCAAGCATGCATGCATTCATTCATTCGTTCACTGAACAGCCTGTTTGTCAAGCACTGTGCTTTGATGGAGGCCAGGGTCTGCTGAGAGCCTCACTCACAGTGGGCACCAGCAGCACTTCCCACCCTTCCTCACCCCTTTCCAGAAGGGCCCTTTGAGCTGCTATCAGTACTCCTAAGTTAATCGCCCATTACCCAAATGATACAGAGTCAATCAAAAAGCTCAACCAGGACATTTTCCCAATACTTTCACAATCATTGCTTTACATACAATCTCACTGAATGCTCAGCAACCCACCATAGCAGTGTTTAACCCCGAAGGCAACACTGAGGCTCAAGGAGGGAAAAGTGACTTGACAGCTAGTAGGTGAATGAGCTGGGATTTAATCCTAAGGCGACATGGCTCAAAAAACCTATGCTCATCCACTATATTCAAGATAAAATTGTGAAAGCATGTTTTTACCTTGCCCAGACCCCATGAATTGCATCAAGGTCCTGGGTTGTAAGTAAGAGAAACCAACTCTAGCTAACTTCAATCACAAAGGAGTTCTTTGGCAGATCTGGAAATGGAGAGAAGAATAGAGAACTAAGCCCAGAAAAGCAGCTGCACAACTGAAAACATAGCCAGGATTGTACTAAAGAACTGTCTGGTTGGGACACCCACCCTTAGGTACCACTGCCACCTCCTCATTGGACATTAGCCATTACTGCCGGATTCCTGACACATGTGCCACTCACCATGACCTATGTCTCACTGTCCCTCAATAATCAAAGTTCCTGAGGGCTGAATGGCTTTTGCCAAGCCTAGGACACACTGCCATCCCCTAGCTTCCAGGGAGCAAGGGGAGGCGATATTTGTCCTCAGTGGCAGGTGCTGCCAGCTGCCCCCCAACACTCAGGTTCTCCATCTGCCTTCCTAACAGGACCCTGTGCTTGGCTAAGGAAAGATATTTCCCAGTTTTCCAGCAGAGCTGGGATGACATTCTGGCCAAAGAGACGCTACCAGAGTGCGCTGTTCATTCCATTCTTCGTGCCTACTCTTGCCTTGTGGACTGTGAGCAGAGCACACCTCCTTGCCCACTGGCTCTGTGCTTGCTCACGCATCTGGCATCCACTGACGGGACTGAGGAGGAAGAGACTTCAAGAGGCTTCTGTGTCTCTGCTCACTCCTCTTGGGCTCCTGACATGCACCTAAGAAGAGACTGTCCTTAAGCAGCTGCTTTTCTTCCCTCGGTCCTGGAATGACAGGCTTGAGAACAGATCTGAATCTCATCTTGCAGTTGATCCAGACCCGTGAATAAGAAATAAATGATTGCTGTTGTAGCCACTGTTTGTTCCTCAGTAAAAAATGATGCATGTGGGGATGGAAATTATTGAATGGAACTGGAGGGTGAGGCAGCAAGTGCCTGTCTGCCCTTCCCCGACACCCTCCTTCCTAACTGGAGAAGAGGGTGCAATAACTAGAGCTGCAACTGCCTTCTTGTGACCACAGGCAACCTTAAGGATAGAAGTCACCTGCTCAGGGTGATGGAGGAAAAAGATTGAGGGACCCTGGATCCCGGATACTTACATAAGCCACTGCACTGGCCATGGACAGCCTGCCCCGGCCATGGACAGTCTGCCTCCAGACTTCAGGGCGCACAAGAGAAGAGGACAGCACAACCCTCCAAGCCTGTCTCTTTAGGCCTTCTTAAGTAGAAGCTAGGGCTCACCCGCCTCCTAGCCAAGATCCACATAATGGGAAATTCTTTTAACACAGAAAAGGTATTAAGGTGCTTGGAGGCCAAAAAAATAAATAAGTAAACCACACAACAAAATGTTCAGGATAAACTGTATGTGAAGTTTATTCACTACATGGCTTTCTCACGAAGTTATCACAATCACTATAACTTAAGCTATTGAAAAATGACACAATAAATTCTGAGATTCTTCCTATTTCTGTTGGCTAAAAATGCAACCTTTGAATTGTTTATAAGTGAATTCAAGAGACAAAGGTAAACCCAGATAATTCAGAATGTACTAAAGACAACACATATGCCTTCTATGTGGTAAGCTCCCAGCATTATTTATTCAAAGAAAACTTGCCTCATTGCAAAAATATAAAAAACTTTAAAAATAAAACAATTAATGATACAACACACCACTTCCTACAACACCAGCTTCCTTTCTTTTCCTTCAAATTAGTGAGTATCATAACGTGATCGGAACAAAAACAAAACTTTATTCAAATTGCTGAAACTCAGGAAGTTCAATTAGCCAGAGAATGCTGCTTTCCCAAACTACAGCCCCTGAGAAGGGAAAAGAGTGGTTCCTACCTGCTGAGTGAGCCTGGGGTCTGGGCAGTGGGTAGACACACGTGGGCCCAGAGGCCACGTGGTGAGCCAGAAACCCTGTCCCTTATTGCTCCCGGGAGACCCAGGTGCTGTACTATGCAGGGGAAGGCCCTGAGGAGCTGCAACAGGGTCTCTGCTCTAGAAGCTCATAACCCACCAGAGAAAAAGTAACATGCCAGAAAACCACTGTCTTTTTCTGGCTTCAGGGGCTGCACCATATATCTGTAGGGGTCACTAACGGCCTAAGTGGAGAGTAGTGAGGCCCCTCAGACCCAGGAGCTGGGGTGGACAGTGTCAGCCTCCTCTCAGGAATCAGTTCCTGAGGTTCCGTCCAGTCTGGAGAAAAACCACAAAGGCTATTCTCATGGGTACTTTAAGTAGCACATCTGTTGGCAAAACACAAATGTTGTTACACAAATATGAAGCCACAGATTACGAAGGGACCTGACAGCCTTTAAAATCCATTTCTCCTACTTTGCACAGCTGCACTGGGAAATCGTGCTGCTAAATTACACACTCATAAAGGATGTATGTTCAAAAAGTGGGGGAACTGTGTGGGTGCTATGTAGATTTTCATCAACTTATTCCATACTTTTGGATAACCGTAAATCCCCAAAAAGTAACTCTAACTCCACATATCTGCCCTTTATATGTACCTTCTGACTCTAGACTGCAGATTTGATTAACCCATAAACAATACTGCTCCTCTTGGCCACACAGAAGCTAATGAGTCAACAGCAGAGGAGGCTGCATTCTGTTCTGCCTCTCTGAGCATAAGACAAAATCTTAGGGAAAGGTCCCACTGCAGACTTCATCCATCCATCCATTCCATAAGTATGCATGACTCCAGCACTGGAGATACAGCAGGGAAGAGGTGAAAAAAATCTCAGCCCTCATGGGGCTTAGATTTCTAGTGGATGGGAGAGGTAAAGGGGGCAGAGGGAGGGATGGAGATAAAGAGAACTCAAATAAAATCAATGAATAAAACGGGGTATAGCAGATGATAAGTGCTAGGAAGGCAGGGGGAAGTGGTGGGGTGGAGGCAGGTGTCAATTTTCAGGGAGGGCCACATTGGGAAGGTGCTGCTAGAGCAGATGGGAGGGTAGGGGCCAAGGCCCCGAGGCAGGGGTGTACCTGGAGGATCCAGGGAGGAACACAGAGGCCAGGGAGGTCACAGTGACTGAGTGACGGGACAGTAGCAGGAGAAGCCTCGTAGGCCACTGTGAGGACTCTGGGTTGACTCTGAGTGAGAGGGGAGCCCACTGGAGGGTCCTGAACAGAAGAGTGCTATGCTCTGGCCCACAGATTACAGGCCTAAACAGAGACACAGGGAGCAAGGGCAAAGGCAGGCAGCAGGCGGTGAGGCTGGGAACTAGGACCAGGATGGGATCAGTGGAGATGGGAAGAACTTGCCAGAGAGCATGAGCAGGGTTTGTGGACAAACAGGACATAGTGTAAGAGAAAGTATCGTGGGTAACTAGCATCAGGTTTGTGGCCTGAGGAGCAGGAAGATGGAGTTGCTGTTTACTGGGAAGAGGAAGAGCAGGGAAAGAGAGGGTGTGGCGGGTCAGGAGCTCAGTTTTGAACAGGTACAGTTGGAGAAGCCTGTTAGAAACCAAGCAGAGATGTCAAGTTGGCACTGAGAGCACAGGTCTGGAGTTCAGGGGACCCGGTCATCCGCAGACATAAATTTGGTAGCCAGTGGCTTGCAGATGGCATAGAGAGGCATGAGGCTGAGTAAGATCACACTGGGAGTGAGGGTGGGGAAGAGAAGTCTGAGCCCGAGGCCCTCCAACACCACATGGGGCACAGAGGGAGACCCAGCACACACTCACCAGGGACCTTTCGAGGACTCGTGGATGCCAGGTACCATTCTAGGTGCCTGAGCTACCTCCGTGAATACAGCAGACAACCCTGCCATGTGGAGTTCTGCTCCAGCAGGGATGACAGACAGTTAGGACAAGCACGGTCAGTCACCTATTGTGCTAGAAAGGGATTAAAGCTGTAGTTTGGAAAAAACAGAGCAGTCAGGGTAGGCCTCACTAAGAAGGTGCACCCTGGCACAAAGCCTCAAGGGAGGGAAGGGACTGACTCACGTGATAGTGGGGTCACTGACGCTGACAGGCCAGGTAAGAGGAGAAGTGATAACTGCCCCCGGATTTAACAACACAAAGGTCATCATTTGTGTCAGCAAAGGAACGAATGGAGAGGGCTCAAGAGAGCATATGGAGAGTCAGAGTGGAATCTTGCTGGTAAAGGGAAGGAGAGAAGCTGGAAGGGTGGTGGGGCCAAGAGCAGCTTTTGCCAAGGTGGGAGAAGTAGCAGCAAACATCAGAGGAGGACTCGCAGAGGCAGGAGAGGGCTGGAGAGACGGCCCAGAACAGGAGCAGAAGCGAGGGCCCAGGAGAGGAGGGGGGAGTGCAGAGCAGGGTTAGATGCTGGCAAGGAGATGTGGGCCTGCGGATATTCTCTTCGGATTG